TCAATTTTTAAATAACAGTTGTGAAAGTCATAAATTTCTTGGTAATATGATGGAGATATTTTCCTATTTTAGGTTAATCTGGCACAAGGCCATAATAGTGGGATACCCAGTAAGGATGAAGCTCACTAGTAATAGCCTGAGAGGTGAGTCTGCTACTGTTCATTGGGAAATGTCATTAGATAAATTAAAAAAATATTTTTAGTTTAAGCATCATGTAGGTGTAAAGATAAATCCAGTGGAGTATCTTTGAAATGAATTAATTTTCCTTCCTTCCTCTCCCTCCACTCCCTTTCTTCCTCTCCCTCCACTCTCTTCCTTCCTCTCTCTCTCTCTACTTCCATACTTCCTTTCCCTCTACATCTTTCCTTCCTCTCCCTCCACTCCATCTCTTCCTCTCTTTCCACTCCCTTCCTTCCTCTCACTCCATTCCATCTCTTCCTTCTCACTCCCTTTTCTTTCTTTCCTTCCTCTCAATCCCTTCCTTTCACTTCCTTTCTCTCACTCCTTCCCTCTTCCTGCCTCTCCTTCCCTTCCCTTCTTTCCCCTTTCTCCAGCACTGCTTTCTCTTTCAATAAATAGATAAATAAAAGCACTCAAATATTCAACATAGACTCTTTTTCATACTCACCTTATCCAATATAGCTTATTACTGACCAAGTGAATATCTAATCATGGATCTAATTGAACTTTTTTTTTTTTTTTTTTTTACATTGGAATAGGAGAGAGGAGTACGAATCTTAAGTGTCACAGCCATTAACCCATTGCCTTTGTAACTCAACTAACATCCTCGCCCTACAGCACAAAATAAAAATGAATAATAGAGAGGAAACAGCTAAATGCAAAGAATTAAGTTTTTATTCTTGGATTTATTTATTTACCCTTAATAATTTTCATGGCGTTTATTTTTGTTGTTATTTGGATTTCTTTCAAAATTCATATTTTTTTTTGCATGTTTTTAGTATTTTCTCATATAGACAGAAGGTTTTCAAATTAGAGACAATAGGAAAACATCTTTAATACATAAAGTATTCCATATTACAAAAATGCAGTATATATAATATTGCTATAACATTTACCTATTCATGTTTTTCTTTGTATAAATCTGGTAAGAAACTTTTTTAGTTTCATTGAAAAATATTCATTGTAGTAGAAAGCTGTCAATTCTCAACTAGCCACTTTTGTGACATGAAATGAGGCAGGTTCTTACTGGAACACATGTAATCATCCCTTTTGATAGTGTCTCAGATGTTGTTGTTCAAAGGGAATCAAATCAGGAGAACTAGGAGAGACATGCTCATAAAAATTCTCAACTGGCAACTCTTGACTCATTCTTACTGGAATGTGTACAACCATCCCCTCAATCCAGAGCTTGACCACTGTAGTCTAATATATTGATGCAGGTGACAAGACATGGCCCTTGTTTCTCATGATCCCTGGGACTATCACAGGTAACATCAACTGGATGTACATCACTGTTGTGTCTGCACAGATCTACCCGTAATTCCTCCCGTTCTCCTGTCCACTTTCAAGAAGCTAGCTGTCTCCAAGTCACTGCACTTGGCAGCAAGTGCAACAAACATGGTGTGTCTTGACATTTTCTGTGTCATATTGGAAGCTCCTATGTTCTAATGAGAGAGAAAGGAAAATGTTAAATTGTGGTGCATGTTACATAACATTAGGTTAGGTCATTTTCTATTTCTAGAAATGTGTTCTCAAATACATGGTAGATAGTGTGACCAGTAAATTGTATAAAATGATTATTGTGTTTTATATTATATGTTTACTTTGAATATACGCTCTTTAGAGCTAGAGGGCGTCGTCAGTGATGTTCTGATTTGGATCATTGGGCAGTTTCAAACATCATACTGACCTCACCAAGTTGACCCCATCAGAGCTGATCGGACTCTGATACGCCTTCTAAAAAATGCTTGTAGACACTGACTTCTATAAATATACCCCATTATCACGCATTTGATTGGAGGTTGACCAATAGCCAATCACAATGGTGTGAACTCTATTTAAGTTGTTTACGGGGAATTTTTCCTTTTTTTTCATTTTTGAGTGGACACCCTTTCATCAGATACTTAGAAGGCACATTTGTTTTCAGTTTTTACCCACTTCCCATCAAGTTTCATTTCACTAGCTAATAATTACTATTTACAAAGATAAGAAAAATTAGCCCGTAAAAAAAAAACTTGTTTACACGATTGAAATGAATAAATAAATTACAGCGAATTAAACCGAGAGTGCTTATAAATATCATAAAAACGTTTAAAACATATTGTCGAGTAAAAAAAAAAAAAAAAAAAAAGGGAAAACCCTTTAATCTATCGATTATAAAATTAAATTTATGTTTTTAGATCATTAGAAATAAAAACGAAACGGGAAGAGGGGTAAAAAAAAAAAAATAATGTTGGTGAGAAAATCGTGATTAATCATGCTTTGTTAGTATATTTGGTTTTAAGTTATTTTTTTTATACTAATGTTCACCCAATACAAGGCCCAAGAGCCACCCAAGGTAGAGGGTTACTGTGTGGTGTTGTATGAATGTAAGAAAAAGCAAGAAGTTAAATAGTGTACTCCTTTAAATAACTTTCTTCAGGAACAAAAAATTAGACATGCCCAGTAGGTGAGTATATATTTTTAACCTTTTTGAGCTGAAGTTATTAAGAGTTGTTTTATTTGGTAAATAAAAATGATATACTTTCCTGAGATTTTTGATGGCCTCATGAAAGATAAACTACCATATAAGCAAAACAAGTGTGCGTATGTATGTATAAATAGATTGAGAAGTAGATAGGTATGTGAATATGTATATATTCTCATATATATATATATATATATATATATATATATATATATATATATATATATATATATAATATATATATATTGTGATGTGCACACAGGTGATATAATGAAAAATTAGATTGCTGAGTTCAAATTCCAGTCGAGCTCATTATATTCACTTACATGCAAATACCCTTGGGAAAGGTGTGAATCAATCTTTTCTCTCACTCCCCAGTTATGGATTAAATAGCAGGGAAGACTTGGCTCTCTAGCCATTGTTGTCAATCAGTCTAGGAGAAGGGCAACTCTGAATTGAAAACTGTATGTGAACCTGATGCTGCAATAGAGATACCTTAAGCATAATCTCTATCTATTAGGTTTCAATAAAAAAACAAAAAAACAAGTGCTTTGTCAAAAACAACTCTTTGAACAACAGCTGTACAAGGATTCATGTAATGGATTATGCATTTAATATATATATATATATATATGCTATTTTAACTGGGATATGTATAAGTCTTTTTTAAAAAATTATTTTTATGTTTAAGCTGGATTCAGTAGACTTCTCAGATAATACTGTTGCCTTCAAATAACTGATGTGGGGTGAACTAGATCATTGAAAAAAATGAGTTGCTTCTCTTCTGATATATTTTTCTTTTTATATTCATTGATTTCTACAATATCTTTGAAACATGTATATTTTTCTTTAATAAGTAGAACAAATACTTTAGAAAGGCATATTTTTCTGTTTTCTATGGGCATACAAGGAACAGAATATTACATTCATAAATTCATGATTTCCAGAATTCTTTTACTGGACGTTAACTTAAAAGAGTGCATGTGTGTGTGTCCTAACATTTAACAACAGAAAGAATGGAATTGGCAAAGCATGTTAAAAACTCCTGCTAGCTCTGTTTGTGTTCATTTCACGCTAATAGGAAAAATCACAAATCCCCTCCCCTCCCTGACTTCTTCTATAAGTAAATACCAAGATTGTTAGAACTTTTTGGTAATAGGCTTGGTCAGGGATTGTTCCTTGTTATTGATACCATGTAACACAATACAACATATGACTTGTTGCTTGAAGAAGAGAAAGACACATAATAAATCCCTATTTCCTTCGGTACTACCAGGGAATTGTTCAACATGGCACCTCGATAACATAATGGGCTTTTCAAATTTTTTGCATTGGTGACACTTTTTAAAAATAAATTTTTTTGCAACACATTAAGTTCCAATACACAAGCTTAATATGGAATTCAAATGTATATAAAAAGAAATAATTAAATGAAAAATTTATTTAATAATTAAAGAAAGAATGGGTAATTAACCTTTTAATGCTCAGACATGGTTGCAAAATTTGACAAAAATCAATATAAATTGATTAGTCATAAATTGTATTTTAATACAATGTGTAAGCAAATACCATATTTTAGTCTTTATATTCTTCATAAAGATAATAAAAATTAATGCTTGTCTGGTGTCAAAATAACATGTCTTAAAATATGTTCCACTAGGAGAGATAACAAAAAGACAAGATTTATTAAGAGCTACAACAGACAGAAGATTCTGAAGGGACACAGTACATAGAATAATAATAATAATAATAATTCTTGCATAATCTAATATCATACCACCAAGATACTGCAAATATTTAAATAAAATTCACATGCCATATTTATCATATAACTATATCATGAACATTTTACTAACTTTGATACTTCTAGTAGAAGTAGTCAATATTCTGATATGATCGCCAATGTCCTGAAGGGACATGGCACATCAAAGACATGGAACAATGGACACTAAAAGATTATTTACACTAAGGTGTTACATGTTTTGACACACCTGTTTGGAAAGCTGTGCAATAAGTTGGTTATTTGTTTAACAGTATATCAACCTCTATGGGTTATTTAATGCCAAAATCTAAATATCTTGTATGCAATTTTTTTTTTTTTTTTTTTTTTTTTTTTTTTTGAAGATAATAATGGTTTTTGTGATACAAGTTTTTTTTTGAAAATAATAATGGTTTTTGTGATACAAGTCTTACTAATTAACCCTAACCCTGGAAGTGGGGAGAAGAGGTGTTTCATACCTTTCCCAAGGGTACTTGCACACAAATGAATATAACAAACCTGACTGGGATTGGAACTCGGATGTCCGATTAACAATTACGAGTCATTATCTATTACATCACCTGCACATTCAAGCTTACAACACCTAGTATTCCCAAGTGGTCACCCATCTAGGTACTGACTAGGCTCGATGTTGCTTAACTTTGGTGATGTGGGCATAAGTTATAAGAAACAAGTGGAATAAAAGTTTTAAAATACTAAGAGGTGGTGGCTTTTTTTTCTTAAAATGCCTATTTGTCCTTATTTGCTTCTTCCTAATTTCATACTTTAAAAATGAACTACTAAAGAATGCAACACCTAAAGAGACTAAAAGTAGAAGTCCTCTGTAATTATTCTAATAGCATAGTTGCTACAAATGAAAATCACTTTTTTCTGCACCAAAACAATTCCATCATTTTTATCTTGCATGAAGCAAATAAAAACATTAATCAATCTATTTTTTAAAAATGTTTCTGAAAGATTAAACAAATAAAAACATTATTAAACAACAGCCGAAACATTGTGAATACAGCAATAAAGATAAGGACAACAGTCCAAACAATGTAAATAGTTAATACCTCATCTTAGAAATATAAATGATGCAAAAGGACACTTATATTTAGTATCAGAAAGAGACAGTTGAAATTTCTAGAGAACATAACAAGAAAAGTGGGCTTGGAAAATTTGACACTCCTCAGGGCAGATTGAATGCAAGAAGGACACAGGAAAGCAGCCACTAACCTATCCAATGAGTTTATCCAAATGTTTTATACCTCATCTCAGAAATATAGACAAATAAAGAAATGGTTTGCTCCTAACCATTTGAGTTCAAGATATTTTTGTATTACATTGGTGAGTTATCTGATAAGCCATTCTAAGAGAATCATTGTCTTGAATCACTATATCATTGATTGCCTGAATGAAAAGACCCAGAACAAAAGAAATTTCTCAATATATCTTGTCAGCTACTGCAGGACAATCATTGCTTACACTGCTTTCATCATTACATACAAATTGCCTTGAATCTCCCTCCAATTAACTACCTGAGCAAGAAGACCAGGGAAAAATAAATTTCTCCAACCTCATCAGTCATCACTATCTATAATTTGTCTTCAGTTGCAATTCAATTCACTGAGTAAAAGAAGACTCAGAACAAAGAAATTTCTTTCCAGGTATCCTATCAGTCAATTACTGCTTTCTTCACTATTTATAAATTGTCTTCAATCAATATCCAATTCACTAAGACCAGAGACAAAACAATTTCTTGCAAGATATCTTGTCAGCTGGTCTCAATTGGCAAACTTCGTTAGAGGCTGATTTCTTTCAACAATGTGACAATAAACTATATCCAATGGCAAGACCTCTGATCAGGAGATGGGAGATTTTCAGGAGCGTGGAACCACCTCTTAATTGCTGTTGTTCCCAGGTCCACCCTGACCCAGGGTGGTAGCACCTGTTAGGGTCCCATCTATGGGCAAATAGTGAACCCCCAAACAAAAATATGACACTGTGAAAATATAAAAATACATTTTTATTGTAAAAATACCAGCAATACATTTTTATACAAAAAAATTACCAACAATACAATTTTAAAGCAAAATAATTAACAATACATTTTATCTGTCGTTGAAGGCATTCAAAATTTATTTAGCTGAAGCCATAAAACTGTGTTCAAAACATTTATTTTATATGAATGTAAGAGAATATAAATAAAACCAATGGTAGCATCCTACTGGTTCATGTGAACCAATTCTTAGCAAACCAGTTGCTGTATTATCCAAAAATAATTTTATATATTAACAGTTGATATATAATAGCTAAAAATATAATTAATACCATTGCTGTAAGTTCTGAAGTGGCTTAAAGATGGTTTTCAGCAATGAACATAATTTATTCTGACAAAGGAAATTGTTGTTAAAAATATGGCAAATCTTCTATTCATAAATTTGATAGGTCTCCCATTTGATCTTTGGGATTGCAGTGACTCAGTTTGAATGTGACTAAGAAACCATAACACAGCCGATGACACTAGAGTCAAAAAGCATCAAAACTTCTGAACAGAAATATGATGAGAACTGAATTTCAGTCTGGAAATATCTTAATAAATAAATGTTTTCTATTAAATTATCAAAATGGTTTAATTCTTTTTGATATTATAAAAGTGATTTGTTTCCATTCTCAGATTGAAAAGAAAATTTGCAAAATAGGTTCCTAAAGATTACGTGCTTTTATAGAATCAGTTCCTGGAAATTTGGGATGCCATTATTGTAAAAAACTACTATTTAGGAGGGAAGAAAATTTAAAAAAATAAGACAGAATATAACAATTGACATTGCATTTAAATTTTTGAAGATCAAAGTTGACTGGGAAGCAAGAAAGCTAAAGACAGTTCAATAAGTGACAAGTTCAATAGGAAAAAACTGTAAGAATAGAATTTACAGTTACATCTAGTCATTTCAATTGTAAATTGATAAGACCTTACCACCAATCTAGTATTGCACTTAAATTCATAAAGTCTAAGTACCATAGAATAATGTTCATAACGATTACTATAGGAAAGGTACAGGGAAGCTACATTATGGTGGTGGGAAAGCTTGAAGACATCTGATTAGGGATAGAATATACAGGGTGCGATGGGTAAATTGTCGCCATATTGTATTTTTGATTTTGTCAACTGCACAATATAGAGTCAGTTGGGCACTATCTGTGAGAAAAAGAGCACTGTAATGCAATTCACTCCACCAGAAATTTGAAAACAGAATGCTGTACTGCTTGACATTCATACCGGCAGCTCCATTTTTTGAGTGTCAATCTGAGGACAGTGCAGAGCATTCGGAAAGTGCTGGATGAGTCTAAAGGCAATTAGAAAGGTACGGCAACTCAGAAAACTCACTATAATCACTCTGATAAGAAAAGGACTGCTGAATTTGTTGGTGAGTGCTCTAGACTCAACATGGAGGCCTACATCAAGTGCCTTGAGGATATAGTGCTGCACTGGGTCAAGAGTGTGGCTGCTGGAAGACCATGTGTCTGATAACAAGACTTTGCACCATGCCACAAACAGGAGAACCCAGTCATGGCTGTCAGACAATTTCTGTGACCACATCACCCCTTACCACCTAACTCCCCAGACTGTGTGGGGTGTAGTTGAGCAAGAGAACAACAAAACTCCTTGTAACACCAAAGATGAACTAAAGGCAAGGATTATGGCAGGAGATTCCGAAGTCATCTGGAGGCCATGGTTGATTTTATTGAATAAATTTACTCTTTAGTATTTCAAGATATTTTTGTGTAATTTTGGTAAATATATTTGTTAAAATTAGATGTCAGTGTTATTTTTATTTTTGTGTAATTTAGAAGACAATTTATCCATCACACTCTATATAAAAAGAAACTCATTCATAAGCAATCAATGATTGACTGAAATTTATAAACAGATGATTAATCCAATTTCATCTTTTCTTTCTTGTTTATACTGGTTCTATATTCATATCCATTAAGAAATAGGAAAACAATTGTTAGAAACAAAGAAAAGTGTCCTGAACTGTTATGTAGTATGGCAGTGAATGCTAGACAATATCCTCACAGATGAAGAAGAGACCTGAAGCAACAAAAATATGGTTCTCCAGAAGGCTACTGAGAATACCATGGACCAAACATGTGAGCAACGACAAAGTTTTAGAGAAAATGGAAACAAAAATGACATTCATGCTTAACATTCAAAAATGCAGTAGAAATTTATAGGATACATAATAAGGAAAGAGGGCGAGTAAAATTTGATACTCACAGGACGGACTGAAGGCAACAGGAACAGTGGAAATCAACACATAACCTACCTAGTGAGCTTGAGTAAATGGTTGGCAGAACAGTTTTTAGGCGAGATATAAAAAAAAAGACAACATTTATTAAGTTCTACAAATGACAGGAAATTGTGGAGAGCTGTGATTGCACGTAGAAAAAGTATTCATATCCAATTGCCATTTAATGGCTTATTAGGGCCATTGTTTGATTGACTGAATTATTTTTATGTCTTATCAACCTTTTGGTGGCTATTGAAGTCAGAATATATTTTTAGATTGCAAGAATTTTTTGGAATAATTAATACAAGTTCTACTATTAGCTAGAAGGAGGAGAGGTGGATTCATACTTTTCCCAAGGGTATTTGCCCATAAGTGAATATAACACACCCAACAGAAATTGGAACCTGGCTCTTCAGTTTCCAGTTCTGAGCCATTATCCATTACACCACCTGCATATACAAGCCTACAACATCTGGTATTACCAAGTGCTCACATATGGGCCAGCAGCATTAAGTCATAGTAGAACTAGCTTGACAACTACCAAATTTTTAATTAATCTAAACAGAGCAATCAGTCATCAACTTTAAGAAATGTACTACTGTATGACTTACTATGCTTTTTATTAAATGCACTAATTCTCTGTGGCAGTTTTAACAGAAAACAGTTCTCATTTGTCAGCTGTCTACATCAGTTAACCCAAACTATATATATATATATACCACAAAAGCCCCAAATATTGGTGAAACCAACCCAAAGGTTTCCAGGTGACTAAAGAAAAAAAAAATTAATAAAAAGAAAAGCCAACAATAAATAAAACAAAAACCAAAAAGAAAAAAAATGTTAGAATAAAATGGAAAAGAAAACATAAACTAAGAAGAAAGATCAAAAAACCTAAACAGTAATATATAGTGTTCTATGTTTAAATTACCAAGATGGATCAAATACACTTCCAAGGGTCACGACTCGGAAAGAAGCAAAGTTTGGACTACTACTCAAGTTTCAAGCAACCGTTAATAGAGCTTGAGTATCCTTTATCTGAAATTCCAAAATCCAAAGTTTTTCAGACACTGACATGACTTGCCACAAATGGAAAATTTCAGAAAGCCTAGTTATGTATGTTGACACCAGTTTTTCTATTAGCGATCATCACAGCAACATGTTCATGGATTACTTACCAAATGTTTCATGCTCAGTAAAGATATTATTCAAAATGTCAAAAAGTCCTGCATATATATATATATATATATATATATATATATATATTTGTACATGTACAGAAAGTACAAAACATTATTTTTATGTCAAATCTTAATTTCACCACTTAAAAATCCGTGTAAGCATTACACGACTAGCATCCTGTATCTGTATGTAC